TTTTTCTCCTAACTTGGTTGCTTTAACATTATATTAGGTGAATAGCCGTTCGCTATGCAAAATAATAATAATAATAATAATAATAATAATAATAATGTTAGATTTAAATAGAAAAAAAATCAAAAAATGTAAAGTAATTATATTTTTAATCATATTTTTTCAATAACATATGTTTTTTTTTATATTTTAACTATAAAATTTTATTTATGTGCAGTGAATTTTATATAAAAACGATTGATAGTTCAGGATAATTTACTGCCAAGTGAATATTCTTATTTTTTTAGTAATATTCTACAACTATAATGTTATATCTTATAACCATCTTAATTAGAAAATATTGAAATATTTAAAGAATAAATCGTATTAGAATGAATAAACAAAACACACTACAAAAAATATGTCATTTAGTGGCATGCAAAAAGTATCACTAAAGACTCAAAAAAGTGTCACTAAAAGCATGTCAAAGAATCTATGGCATAAATAATAACTGTCACTATAAACGTTCCCACTAAAACCCATTAGTGATAATTTTTGTCGCTGCAACTTTTTAGGCTTTTAGTGACATTTTTGTATTTGTTATAGTAGAAGAAAGGTTTTTTGTGGCATTGAATACTCATTTGATTCAATAATTCATGCTATATTTAGTTACACATTTTAAAATACTAGTGATACTTTTTTATTTGCCACAATATAAAAAAATATTTTGTGACTCATTTTACTCTGATGAATACTCACAATATTCTAAACTTTAGGCCATTATATAATTTTTATCGATAATATACGATAAAATAAATAATCAAATTGTAGCACATACATAAAATAATACAAATTCTATTTTTTTTTGATCAATTATTTAAATCTTTTTGAATCAAATACCTAAGTAAATGTCAAATATGTATAAATGTGAAACCAAATACATGATAAACATAAATTAACGAACAAAGGTAAACAAATAATAATAAATAAATAAATAAACTTGAATCTTAATTGCAAGTAAGCTTCCCCAAACTCCATGTTACGTTGAATAAATTATGTTATCTCGTACTTTAAAATCAATACTAGCAATTTCCTATAAAAAAAAAAACAAACAAATGCAATTCAAGATATAATTACATAAGTCACAGTTTAGAAATAAATAATATAGCATTAAACACAAATCAACTATGTCTGTAATAACAAACAAAAGAGAAAAGAACATAAAAATGATTACCTTCATTATGGTGACTTTCGGAAGATGATCCTAGGTGGTTAACTAAAATAAATTAATAAAAACATAAGTCACTACTATTAGTAGTTTTCTATAAGGCTAATGTTCAAGAAAATACCAAAATATCCACATTACCATATATATCATTAGGGTGTGTTTGTGGCTTATAATCTCATATCTACAGAAAATGGCATGTCATTAAAAGTTGTACGATTATGAAATAACAAAATATGCGAAAAGCAAAAAGATACTTTCTTCATATCTTCCCTCAAGATAGGCTCTATATTTTGAAGAAGTGTCTATATAGAAATAAAAAAAAAAGAATATTTTCATTACATTATATAAAATACAAGCATACAAAATTAACGTAAAAGAGACAAAATTACTCTTGTTTTATCGTATATAAAAACCATTTAAGTTATTTTATTTGGACAAAATAATTGAACAAATCAATAAACATATCATAAATAATGTAAAAGAATAATAAAAATATAAATATATAGGTGCAAAAAACATATCTGAAAAACAATTTTTAGAAGAGGTTTATTTTCAGCCTGTTCACACCCAATATCATGGCACTACCTATGTAACACAAACTTATTTAGAAAAATAATTTAAAAGTTATAAATGTATGTATTTTTTGTTATGTTCAATTGTTACTAGTATGCAATTGGAAATTACCTCAACAAATCTCCTTTTGGCAGTAAATCCTGCATAGAAACAACTCTTGGTAGCAGCATGTCATGTAAAGAATTCAACTTTTTTGAATAACAAATAAAGAATTCCCCGCCATCATAAAATAATCTTTCTCTAAGGGACAAATTGCAAGAAATATCAAGATATTTTCATTTAGTTGTTTATTATTATCATAGCATGCTACTTTCATTTCTTTCTATTACTGCATTAACTATCAACTTTTTCTTATCAAAGCATTGTACTTTGCAAAAGATACATAGTTATAGCATTGGATGTTTAATTTTTTCCTTATTGGAACATTATATATTGAAAATTGAAAAAGCTCCTTCATTATAGCAGTCAAAATGAGATAACATTGGTATAATTGTGTGTGATTTTCAAAGGACGATGTTGCAATAGGAAGAAGTGGAATGCTATAATAAACAATTGAATAAATGTCCATTGATATGACTTGCATTTAACCCTATTTTCTGTGATCTGCCTTTATTCACCTGAAATTTTTTGATGAACTCAAGAAAATATCTAAATTAGTACAGTTGCAAATTGCCCTGCTCCATCAACATCACCAATGGGTCAAAAAGATGTGTGAAAATAAGTGTCAAAATTTCCATACTAAAAGCAGCATTTTCCCTGAAATCAACAAACAATCTCCATCACTTTGGATTCACAGCAAAATGTTGACCAAATTTTGACAGAAAGATTTTACTTAGATACCCAATTCCATCTTTGAGCATACAATTCATAGCTGCAGCAGTTGGAATCGGCCATTTACCCAAACCAACAACATATAACAAAGACTACAATATACAATTATCATCTAGTTAAACAAACCCTAATCCAAAATTGATGCAAACTTATAGAATCAAATCTAATGAATCAATAAGGGAAACCCAATCAACTAAACTTACTTGTGTGTCAATAACACCACTAACTTGAGCAGCGATGCCGTGAATGCCTCTCCAGAGAGAATACTCCAAGTAATCACTAGTAACACTATCTAGAAACCCTTCACAGAGCATTAAGCGCTTGAAGAAAGTCAAAATTCTGCTAGTTTGATTTGTTTGAAATCAAATCCAATTACATTGAAAGTACCATCCCCATCTATCAGGTGTGTGTGTGTGTGTGTGTGTGTGGGGGGGGGGGGGGGGGGGACGAGGAGGGCATGAACTGCTATAAAAACGTCCTGATTTTTTAGGACTCAGATTACTCAGCTAAGAAGAGAATATATGAGTTGAAAGTAATCTATCCGCATTTAAAATAAGTGTTTATCAAAAGAGAAGCGGAAACTTCCACATGAATCATGATTGACTCACACCTAGACAATCACGAAAAAAAATAGAAATAAGATAATGCGTTTCAGGACTATATTCAAAGTCAATTGAGAGAAAAACAGTTTAATCGTAGAAATTCGAACAATAATTTAGCAGTATGAATAAACAAAGGATGAAATCAGATGAAATTTAAATTAAAGTATGATTACCGAACCAGATGGAGATAAAACGGATTAGAAACACCGGAGAGGTATTTGAAATAGGCTTCGAGATTGAAACCCTTGCGATGGTAGATAAAAAGGGAATTATACGTAATAATTGCTCCATCTTCCTCGATCGTAGCTTTTGTCTTGACTCTGAACCTCAACCAGGAACCACTGGAGGTGATCGACATGGAAGATCATATTTCTGAATCAATATTTCTCTCATTTCCTTGAAGAACCTTTCTTATCATGCGTGATTCAAGGCGTCAGATACAAGATACAAAAAATCCTCGTCTCCTTTCTTGTTGAGTAGATTTGAAAAGGAGATTGGAGAAGAGTGATAAGGTAGTAAGGAGCTCTGATTCTCATCTTTTCGATTTTGATTTGGAGCTTGTTGATCGTAATCTAGATAAGGATCCAATGAAATCAACTATTGGTGGGATGTATATTGCTAGTTGGAGCTGTGAAACACGGTGAATTATGGTATGAGAAAAGGGGGAAACACTCAAATTTCTTATGTGATAACACCGGTCTTCTTTCATTTTTTTAGAAATAAACGCCGATCCATTTACTAATGGGGAAAAATAAAAGGAAATTCTAACTTTTTTTAGTGGCACAAAAACAAATGGGTAAAATTATACAACAGAACTTCTGTGGTGAATATGTGCCACAAAATATAGACCTTGTAGTGTCATTTGGAATTTTTATGTCATTAATAAATATTAATATTAGTGACATAAATTATTAAGTGTCACTAAATCTATTAATTTTATAATGACATATAAAATATGCTACTAAAAATATATTATAGTGACATAAACAATATGTGCCATTAAAAATATATGCAACTAACTTTTTTTTTTTTTTTTTTTTTTTTTTTTTTTTTTTGGTAGTGGCAGGTCATTAATGTTTGGTTAATTCCATCTCGTTTGTTTGGTTTAGAACTCTTATTGGAGTCTAATTCACTGATAAACTACTGTTTCATAAAGTTGAGTTGTTTTTTCATATTGATCTTCAAGATAAAATTAATAAAGTATTAGCTGAAATAATCAATAGCATGACACACATAGAACTTTTCGCTGCTACAATTTATAAGATATTGAAACTTTGATTTAAATGGCTTAGTTGCTTGTTGTTTGGGATGGAGAATTGATAAGAAAAAAAAATGTTATAATGATATACAAAATAGAATAAGAGGCTATTTAAAGTCTTTAGTATGAAACAATTGTGTATAATGGAATTGATATATGGGCTTAACGGAACCAATTATGTGGGCTTGTTTAATTGGTTTAATGTCTGAAGCGTGAAACAATCTATTAATGGGCTCATATAGAGAACAAAAAAAAACGATTCTAACATTATAAGGCATTGTCGTCTTAAAAAACGATAAAGGAAGTTTTTTGTAGAATCCATCAAGTAAAAGGTATTTTGGCTTAAAAAAAGATCGATTATGTGGAATGAAGAGATCGATAACGACGACAAGGTATAGTCTAAGAAGGAACGGCAAACATGTATGTGTTTTCATCTTTAAACGTTTGGATACCACTGATCATAAAATAAATAAACACAACTAACCAAGAACACCACGAATCTACGATATAAAGTGGAAAGCTGGTGTAAACAGGAAGAAAATAGATAATTAAAAACAATTATATAATTGCTCTATATATATAGGAGACTAAATAAAACTCCTAATTGCTAATACAACTCTAAAACTTAGAAATAGATAACCCAAAAAAAAAAAACAGTTTGGGAAACAAGTAAGGCTTCAACGGCTTGCATGTTGCAACACCTTTAATTATTTCGACAGTTTCTGAGCATATTTAATATTAAGCATACAAAGTTGAAGTAAAAACTTAAACATACATATGAATTTAAGTATCGATGTAAAGTTACATCCTAAGCTTTGACAACGGTTTCCACAGCAGTAGAATGTATCATCATTTGTTCTGTATATTCTTCTCCTTCACACTCCCATAATTCAGGCAATGCTTCTCTCATATTGTGGATGCTTCGTAACGCATGATCTGCCCCTGGCACAAGACTCGACCTTCCCACCTGTACAACTTATACTTATTTCATTATGCGTTCTTGTCGTAACATACAATATTAGAATTACTTAGTTTTTTAGGTATAATTACATTAAAACTTCCATATAATTATGAGTTTCAATTCATATGTGGAAGCATACATTTTTGACATTAATGGATGAAGGTGTAGTGCAAAAAAACGTTTACGACTTACGATGACAGTATGAAATCCAGCGGCCTTTCCAGTGGCAATGTTACGGATACTATCATCAAAGAAAATCTGAGGGAAGAAAGATAAACTTAAACATTAATATTAACCTTCTTCTTAATTATGTAATCAATAAATATATAGTTCCAATTTTCTAGATTATATATGCTTTTTCCTTGATTTGAAGGATTAAAATTTAAAAACGGGTTTAGCTTACGGTTTTGTTAGGGTCAATATTGGCAATGATAGCAGCGGCTTGGAATGATTCAAGAGCGGGTTTGCATATGATTCGAGTTGCAGAGTTGAGCGTATTAATGTCGTTAGTTTCATTAATGCTACATTTCATTGATTGTGGTTCTTCTATTGGATTAGTATTAAGCGTTTCAAAGCATATGACTCCTTCAAAGCAATCTTCTAAGCACATCCTACTCAGGACTTGAGCTGCATGCGCTTTGTCCGCATTTGTGAAAATCTGAAACCAAAACACAAACTTAAAACAACTTAGTAAAATCTAACAATAGAACACTAGCTTCATATGACTTTTCATAGTCAAATAAATTATTTCCTTCTGATTGTAAAAAATATAATGATTTTTTAGAAGTTGAGATATATAACATGTTATATTTTTATCTTTAAAGTTGTACTTGGTCGACGTCTTTTTAGTATAAGGTATAAAAAAAGATCATGTGGTAGCTTCTAAGGCGTACAATTTTTCGTTGTGGCATCGATAGCAAAATGTTCCTTAGCACCAGATCGGGTTTAAGAGCGTGGTAAGGTAAGGTTCCATGAACTAATGCATGAAATTCATCATCATCAAACTTGTAACCAAGAGCCTGTGTCAAGAAAAAACCATGTATGATATTCAAATTAGACATAATCATAAATGCGCATGTAATACTCAAAAAAGGTAGCAGTTATCTATATAATTCAATATTCTACTATTTTTTTACATGAAAATATCTTTAGAGTTTTCATTTATGAAATGTGAAGTTGTAGTGTAATATTTACCTTGAGACCAGCCATGGTTGTCCCGTGTTCTCTATACAAGTCTAAGCACATAGTGGGGACTTCACATTCATCTATGTTCAAGTGTGTCAACATGAATTCTGGAACAAAATTTTTATATGTTATAGCCATTTACAATCAAAATTTTATAATCACATCTTATGCCATTAGATATGTATATAATGGGTTCTTGGGTACCTTCAATGTTCTTGCGACAAGCAGAATTAAGACCTAAGCTCATGGGGTATAGTGTATCATCCATATCTAAGAATCATGAACAAATTAAACCATGTTAAGCATAATCTCTTTAACTAGTTTGAACTACATGACAAAATCCAGAAAAAAAAAAAAAAAAAAAAACAAGGAAATTAATTCACTTTCAACATACCAAAAAGCAAACACTCGTACTTGACTGTTGTGGATGGTCCAACTCTTTCCATTATCAACACCAAAAACTTTATCGTTGTGAAATTCTGTAAGGCATTAGAATCAATGGTGCGAAAATTAAAACATAATATTGAAGTTGTGCAAACTGAAGTCGAACTTGATTAATGAGAAAAGAAGCATACAACAATGGTAAGTGTAATTAACATACTACAAACTTAATTGTCATGAATACATGAAGAATAAAGTCGTCTTCATTAACAGTTAAATGTATAGTTACCTAGCAAACAACTAATGTCTTATTGAGCATGTTTAGTACCTTTTCTTATCGTCTTGAATATAAGGACTCTTAAATAAACAAAATCTCCGGGATATTGGTATTCACAAACTAAGCTTATTATATATAGATCTTATAATGATGGTGACATTGCCATGTTATTGGAAGTTTAGCGTTGGAATCCCACCCATGGTTTATTGGTATATACGTTGCATTAAGTATATTTCTTTGTTATCCCTGCTTTAACTCTAGCTTTATTCCATTTTCTGAATTGAACAAATTGTCATATAATATTTTATTCTAGTTCTGTTTGTGTAGTAAAACATGGTTTTTATTAGTTGCAAAACCAAATATGTTTGTAGTTGCATTTATATTATCTTGATATGTATAATTTTCTATTATAACTAATACCTAAGCTATGTTAATTCTACTTAATCACTTTGACTTCAATGATACCATGTAAAAAATGCTAAGTTGATTTCATAATTACTCTTACTTTTAAGGTAAAAGATACAACGTACAACCAAAACCTTGAAACCAATAAGAAAATGAGATGCGTGTGGATGTGATATCCAACGTATGCTCCACACTTCCATTAATTATCTGTTGATATCCAACGTATGCTCAGCACTTCCATTAATTATTTGCTTCCAATGTTCATTGTTAATTTCCAATGGTGGGATTATCAATTATGTGGATGGGAAAAAAAGTGTATCTAAAAAGCATATCTTAAGTATATTTTTAATTTGTTGTGCAATAAAGCGAAACAGAGGAGTCAAAATGAACAACACATGGTCCAATCAATTGAGTTTATGTTTATAGGGGAGGATATATTCTATCATAAGGTAAACCTAACACTAAAAGAATCATGAAATTTTCTTTTATTAGGTTAGAAGGTATGTCAACAAAGTTTCTATACAATCCGTAGAAGTTACCTTAAAATATATTTTATAAACAATATGTTCTTATGATTCTTTTATTTCGTATTATCATTAATAATGACAATACTCACACAAACACAAATCGATGTTTGCATATTCTTATTTTGGACCATTTGATCACGAAAAATGGTGCTTTTTGCACATAAAATAATTATGCATTTTTCAAAGATTGTATAGTGTAGATAACTAATAAATCGATTTTCAAAAAAAAAAAAAATGGTTACATAGTTATTTTCACATAAGAAAGCATCCAAAATAGTTTTTTCCAAACTTAACCTATCTTCCGAATCTGGATATATACTCCACTTGCAACATATGCCTTCAAGATCATATCTTCAAACACATTACGATGCTTTTTCAGACTCATAAGGAAACTAAAGAGGCATATACCATATACTAAAAAAATATATTATACCAACTTTTTTCATGAAGTTGATAAAGATATATATTTGTCCAATAAAAAAAACAATGATCAATAATTCATGAATGATTGTCTACACGAGAAAAATACGTCAGATAGCATTAGCAACAATACACAGACACACACATGAGTTTGAATCCTGGATCATACAGATAAAATATCCATTTTGTAATGGAATTGTATGATTTAGAAATAACAAACAATGAAATGATGAGTGTTATTTCTGTATAATATTATTGAAGAAAGAGAGAGCATAAGTTTTTTTTTTTTTTTTTTTTTTTTTTTTTTTTTTTTTTTTTTTTTTTTATTTAAAGAGTGCTGATATCAACTCGGCTTCTATGGAGCTGAAAAGCTGGAGTGATCCAGCTCCCGCAGCTACACTGTATTCCTGACCAATTAAAGTAACCCAATCGGCCTTCACAGTGGCTGCACCACAGCTTTCCTTCCAGTGCACCTTCTTCCACTGGATCATATTTGACATTTCTTAAAAATGTAAATACGATGTTTTTAATATAATGCACAAATTAATAGTAGGGGTCAAAGTCAGTCAAACCTGTTTTCATCCAACGAAGAGGCTCAACAAAAATGGAGGTGCATTCAAGCTCATCATATTTGTTAAAATAGTTATCACTTCTCCTTCTATGCCACTCAAAAGAACTCTCCCCTTCCCCTGGAACATGACTCACAACATTCTCCTCCAATGCAACAACTCTCCTACACTTTTTGCACCGGAATGCAGACGCCGGAGTCGGAATCGGAATCGGAAGCGGAATCACTTCTTTCTGTGATGCCGTTCCGGTCCCAATGACTTCTTTCTTGGACAAGCCAGGGTCAGCAGCAAACTTTGTGGTGTCGATTTTCTCTCCTCGGTTGTATGAGTCGCCTAAATACCACAAGGGCATAAACGTCAAATGTTGAGAATTACAAAATATATTTAGAAATTAAAGAATTTGGGTAAGAAAACAGTCAAACACGCACCTAAAACCTTCAAATGGAAGCGTTTATATATAGTGGTTGAATGGTCAACCTTGAATCCCATATCTTCAAACATGCTCAACTGCAAGCAGAAAAAGAAATATAAAATTGTTTATTATTATTATTATTATTTGGACTTAATTTTTTATTTACCTGTTCTAAAAATCCATCATTAGGGCAAACAGATTCATTGCTTTGGCGTAATGATTCAAGTGCATCTGTAGTGATATTTAGGTGGAAAGAAACATTTCATATTCAATGAAAGAAAATGTAAAATGATTAATGAATAAGACGATTAATACTGAAAAATTTAGCTGTTTTCAAACCTTCTAGAGAAAGTCTTTCAGTTCTCATCAGGTATGCTGTGATGATGGCCGCACTGTAACGAACACATACTAAATAAACACAAAAATAAAACAGAGACGGATTTTTATTTATAAATTGTAACTTATAACTTATAAGTCAAACATGATCAAGAAAATAAGTAGTAACACAAAGGGTATAGACATAGATACAAGAAGTATAAAGGTGTATGAACATGAAAGTGATGGATAAAATGAGAAATTAGTATTTAGTATGAAAGATTTTGATTTACCTTCTGGATACACCTGCAAAGCAATGAACCAAAACTGAACCCTTTTTCCTACTTTCATCAATGAAATCCAAACAAACTTCTAACGAATCAAGCAAATTTTCGCTCTCCATATCTCTCAAAGGAACAGCCATCCTCACCAGATTCAAATCTTTTCCTGCGTTCTCGAGTACATAAAGAATCTTCTTGGAGGATAATGCGGTTTTATCTGATACATCACCCTCCGAGTTTTCAATTGAATCTGAATCCCCCATGTACACAGTGCGAATCTCTTTGGTTGGAACTGAGAAACTCGATTTCCATTCTGAGAAAAAGCTGATAGAAGCCGAGCTCAGAACTGATAAGATATGGGTGATTCCTTCGCTGCCATTCAAAAGTACTTCTGCAGCTGCATTGATGTTGCCGATGAAGAGGTTCTCACGCACCAGGTACAACATATCATACAAAAAGCGCAGTTCTTTTTTTTTTTTATCAACCAAGCCCTAGAATAGTTCCCCCTTCCCCTGTTCGTAGAATCACACAAAATAAATGGAAACCATACTTATGAACAAACTTTAATCAGTTCGAAGTAAAACATTTTGATTACTAATTGAAAAGTAACATATCAGATTGTTTGCTGATTGAAAGCATGAAACGGGGAACCAAAAGCAATTCTAGCAAATGGATTAACAATCAGAAACAGATGCACGCAAATACAGATATAAAAGTTGATTTTTAAGATTGAAATCATAAAAGCAAGATAAAAGTACCGGAGTTGAGTAAGAATCAAGTTTTCCGGCGACTATGGTCGGACGAAGCTGTGCGTTTTTTTTTTCTTCTTTCAGTTTACTTCGTCTTTGTGGTGGCTAGGAAAGCGTGCTTATCATCATCGACTAGTTAATTACCGTCGGATACGAAAGTTTATACTTTTTACCCAAAAAATAAATACAAAATCGTGTATTATATACAGTAGAAATTGAAAAAGTAATTTCAATTTTTTTTGAAAGGTGACAATGTCATGATTATCGGCATTTTGCTTTCGAATGTTGGGTCAATGTCTCTTAAGGAGCGTTTGGCAAAGGTTATAAGCATTTTTCTAACTTATCTTATAACTTATATAGGGTTGTAAACCTATCAAACGAACACGAACAAGGTCTTGTTCATGTTCGTTCGTTTAAGTTAGCCGAACAACAAACGAACACGAACACGAACGGATAAACGAACAAGATTTTCTTGTTCACGTTCGTTTGTTTAACAAATTACTTTGTTCATGTTCGTTCGTTTATGTTCGTGAACATGCTAAACGAACAAATATAAATGAACAAATATAATTAAAAAAAAACACACACACACAATTGAACATATATGAACATAAATGAACATATAATATAGCAATATAATAAAAAAATTGAATATAAATAAATATAAATAAACTTAAACGAACGAACATAAACAAACATCATAAAAGAACGTTCGCGAACATAAATGAACGAACGAGATCATTGTTCATGTTCGTTCATTTAACTAAACGAACGATAATTTTTGTTCATGTTCGTTCATTTATTAAATAAACGAACTTCCCGCCAAACAGTTCACGAACGGTTCATCGAACGTTCAGTTCGTTTAAAGCCCTAATAATAAGTATTGTAAATCCAACAAATGGACACGTAACGAAACCGACAAATAATGTTGAGGATTATATGTCAATTAATTGCGAATAAAATATCCAATTATTATTAATATGTTTATCAAGTTTCATCCAGAAACCAGATCTATCATTATCGATTAGATCTGACTATAAGAAATGTAGAAGAAGATTGTCATGTTGTTGGACGAAATTAAACGTAATATAGAAAAGTAAAATCGACCTGTCGATGGCTGATATTGAACTTGAAATAACTGCATTGGATCGGACTCTTGTCCTTAAATGTTTTTACTTCGCTTCTGCTGGTCATGCGCTATAAGCCCTTTACATGACCCTTTAGAAGATAAACCATTAATCTTCACTTGAGGCGGCACCACCTCTAGATCATATAGGCTAAGTTTTACAACATCATCATTGCTTAGATGTCTCCAAAACTTTGTTAAGAGTCGTAACTCAACCTCATTCTCGGCAATGACGTACTATCCTACCTCACATAGATCTATCATTAATGATAATACCTTCTATCGTTAGTGACTTCGTTGTTACCCTTTAAACTTGAGAATTATGAGCACTAATGTCAAGTGGGGTTTCCATCACTAAGCAATTCTATTGTGGTTTTAGACCCATGACTCTCATTGTAGATGTAACCAAATCTCTCGTCAGAGGTTTGGTAAATGGATCTGCCAAGTTTCTACTTGTCTTGGAATAGACAACCTTAATGGTACCACTTTTAATTAGTTGTTTCACAAAATTGTGTCTCAGACCTGCATGTCTCGACTTCCCATTATATACTGCATTATATACTTTAGACAGTCTGGGCTCACTGTCACAGTACATGGGTATTGAAGGCATCGGAATATCCCACAAACAAACATCCATAAGTAGATCTCGAATCCACTCTGCCTCTTTGCCTGATGTTGCTAAGGCAATTAGCTCCATTTCCATCATTGAGTGACCTATACATGTCTATTTTTTGCTCGCCCATGAAATAGCACCACTAGCTAAAGTATAAATCCAACCACTTGTTGATTTTGAATCACTAGTGTGATCAATCCAGCTAGCATCGGAATAACCTTCAAGTATTTCGTTAGATGACGAATATGTCTACTAAAAAGTACTTGTTCTTTTCAGATATCCTAGTACTCTACCCACTGCCTTCTAGTGCTCCGTTCCTGGATTAACAGTATACTGACTCAGTTTAATTACAACAAATGCGATGTCAGGTCGAGTGCAGTGAGTAGCATACATCATGCTTCCAACTACACTAGCATATTCTAGTTAAGCCACTACTCGACTAATATTCACATTTAGTTTCACACTTGAATCAAAAGGAGTGTTGAATTCCTTAATGTTGAAATGTTGAAACTTTGTCAGAATTTTCTCTATGTAATGAGATTGACTCAGAGAAATTTGATCACCTGTCCTTTTCACCTTGATACCAAGAATTATATCAACTTCTCCAATTCCTTTCATCTTAAAGTCCGAGGATAGGTATTCCTTTGTCTCAAGAATACCTTCTAGGTGAGTGCCAATGATCAACACATTATCAATATAAAGATATATAACTATTATGTAATCAGATGTATGTTTAGAATAAATACACATGTCGGCACTGTTGTGCTGAAACCAAAACCAGTCATAGTCGTGTCAAATCTCGCATGCCACTGTTTAGGAGCTTACTTCAACCCGTACAAGGATTAACAAGTCTACACACTTTTTTTTTCTTATCCAGGCATCACGAATCCTTTAGGTTGCTCCAAGTAAATCTCCTCCTTGAGATAACCATTCAGAAAGGCTTTCTTCACATCCATTTAATGAATGTACAATCCTTTCAAAGTTGATATTGTTATGAAAGTTCTAATAGAACTAATCCTAGCAACTGGGGAATAGGTATCAAAATAATTGATCCTTTCTTGCTGCCTATAGCCCTTAGCAACTAATCATGCTTTATAGGAGGATATGGATCCAACTGGGTGATATTTTCTCTTGAATATACATTTAGGTCTTATGGGTCTTCCCCCCTTGGGTAGATCAGCTAACTGCTAAGTTCCATTACCCATAATTGAATCCATTTCGTCATGTATGGCTTCCTTCCACAAAGGAGCATCTCGAGACGTCATAGCTTCAGTAAAGGTCATAGGATCATTATCCAAGTTAATGGAAAAGATGACCTACCTCGTCACTTTCTTTTGAGTTCCTTCGACCAAATAAGAATAGAAATCATCTCCAAAAATTTTCTCTATTCTAGCCCTAGTACTTCTCCTTGGTTCCTCCATAATAGGAGGAGGTAACAGTATTTCTCGAGAAGTACTTGTAAGTGTTATATGATTGGAGTTTTCTTCATCCCTAGAAAACTTGTCCTCAAAGAATTCCACATCTCTAGATTCCAAAACAACACATGATTCAATATATAATAACCGGTAAGCCTTGCTCTTGTGAGCATATCTAATAAATATACTCTTATTAGCTTGTGCTCCCAATTTGGTTCGTTTAGGATCAGGAGTCCGATAATAAGCAACACCCCCCCCTCCACACACACACTTTCAATTAGTCTAGGTTAGTCTTTCTACCTTTTCACAACTCATAAGGGCTTGTAGGAACCACACGACTAGCGGTCCTATTATGAACATAGCAAGCAGTCAATAGTGTTTCCCCCCCACAGATTGTTTGGTTGACCCGATTGGTTCAACATACAGTTGACCATCACAAAGAGTTCGGTTATTTCTTTCAGCCAACCATTTGTTAGGGAGTGTATGGTGAAGTTCTCTCATGTTTGATTCCATTCTCTTCGCAGAATGTGTCAAACTGTTGGTTAAGGTATTCTTCGCCTCTGTCCGAGCGAAGAATTTTGATGCGTCTATCAAGTTGATTTTCGACTTCAGCCTTATACAGTTTAAATGCATCAAAAGCTTCATCTTTTTATCTCAGCAAATAAACATGTAAATATCGATTGGAGTCATCACATAATGTGATGAAATACCTTTTTCCTCCTCGAGTAAGGATTCCATTTAATTCACATATATCAGAATGAATCAACTCAAGCAATAATGTATTTCTCTTAACTGATGGAAATGGTTTCTTAGTGAACTTTGATTTCACACATGTTTCACATTTTTTAAAATCTTTTGTGTCATATTTTAATATTCCTTTAGTTTGCATTTTTTTTTCAATGGTTTTAACATTAGTGTGTGCTAAACGTTTATGCCATAAAGAAATTGAACTAACAAAATAACCAGAAAAGTTCACTTCATTCACATTAGCAACCAATTCACCAATTACATCATTACTAGTAACACTAGATACACTTGTAACACTAGCAACACTACTCTCAACACTAGGATCACTCACACTACCCTCATCACTAAGGCACAAACAATACATCCCCGAACAACTATTCGCCTTCCCAACATATCTTCTACGTTTAGTGATCGTAATCTTGCATTTCTCAAGCACCATCTTGAACCCACCCTTGTCAAACTTATCCGTAGAAACCAACCCCTTTGAGATAGTAGGAACATGAAGAACATCTCGAAGGGTTACCTATTCACCATGTATAAACTTCAGACGAACATCACCTCTTCCTTGAACTTCAGCTCTATGGCTATCAGCACATATGACAACCATCCTATGTAGCATTGGGCGGTAAGTGTAGAAACTCTCTCGTTGCCCACAAATATGCACAGTCGTACCAGTGTCCACGAACCATCCTCCAGCACGGATTGCTCGGGTAAGGGAGGAGATCATGAAAATCTCTCCAAGGTTCACACTTTCCACCATGTCAGTAACCTTCTCGACTGCATATGCAACTGCTCCTTATTTGCGATCTTTTCATTCTCTAGCATAGTGCCCAATCTCTCCGAAGACGTGGCAAGGTCCGATCCTCTTTGGCTTTGATTTAGGATTCTCATGACCCAGTTTCTTGAAGCTTTGTTTCTTGGGTCCCATGTTCTTCTTGTTTTGTTCCCCAGACTTGCCTTTATGACAAAACCACCAGCTGACACGTGATGCACACTCTATCCAACATTACCACGCTTTTCCCTGATGCTAATTTCCTCCTCAATGTGGGGGTTTTCATCAGATCATCTAAAGAATAGTCCTTAGATTTATGCATCATTCTCTTAGAGAAATCTTTCCATGAGGGTGGCATTTTGGTGATGATCGCAACAACCTGAAAAAGTTCTTGAATAGATATGGAGAGTGCGTTCAACTTGTTAACCATGACTTTGAGTTCATGCAATTGCTCCATGATTGATTTGTCATCATCCATTTGAAACTCTAGGTACTTAGACACAAGGTATTTGTTAGTACCTTCCTCATGTATCTTGTACTTAAGTTCTAACACATTCCATAGCTCTCTTGGATCTTTGACCTGCGCGTAAAGATCATAGAGCCAAATAGACAGGGAGTTCTTGATGTGACCCACGCACAGTTCCTCAGACTCTTTAAGTAGAGGCCTCTTCTTTTCTAGTTTTGTGATGACCGTTGGGTCCACAGTTTTCCCGTACTCTGGAATTGGGTTAATAGGAATCGGTGCCAGATCTGGGTCTAACACAAACACAAGCTTCAAAACGTGAAGCATGAATTTGACCTTTTCGGTCCAACGGGTGTAGTACTGACCATCGAATTGGTCAAGTTTGGCAAAATCTTGGTTCATGAAGTGTAGGCTAGAAGTAGTGTCCATTAGTCTGTCGATTTATTACAATAAAAACCTTTAAGAATATTGTAAATCAAACTAATAGACACGCAAGGAAAAGTACGCCTATATTGCGCACTCATGGCGTCAGCTAATGCTAGGCTAGGCTAAGCGCGCACGTGGTCTTGGTCCATTCCTTTGATCCACTAAAGCCTTTGGTGGCCTATCAAGGGAATAAGCTTATAAACCCAATAGAAGATTCTTCCCCCACCAATGTAGGATAGAGGAAACCTACCAACTTGCAACCTTTCCTCTAAAATTTCCAACAATAAGTTAGGGAACTTACTTATAGGTTTTAGCTTATTTTTGGTATGGCATTTTGATAAACTATTTCTATCCAAACACCCTTTTTAGCTTATACCGAAGTGGAACCGTAATAAGCTAAAAAGGAGTTTAAATATGCTTAGTTAAACACCCTCTAAAATAGAGCTTCATAGGTTCAAATATATATGATGGTTAATGTTGTAAATTTATTTGGTCAAATATCAAATATCAAAATAAATTGGTTACTTTACCTCGAACCAAATTCTCATTGTTTCAGAACATATGTATGAAGTAACAATAAAAAACGACTAAGACACATTACAGATAGTATACCATTAAGACTGTGAAATGGTCTGATCTTATAGATTGTAAATGTTGAGATCTTATGGACTGTGAAGATGAAGATTGTACATTTTAGGTTCATTGCCAATTTGGATCGAAAGGGTCACATTAGTGATAGTACGTTGTGTATAGATAATGGATTATAGCTAAGTTAATGGGGCTTAGTGGTGAAAAGAACCATATTGACTTCTATATAACTGGTAAGGAGATAGTGTAGCTTCCCTGATGATTTGAAGGTATGGTAAACCCATTGGCATGTGTATATGGGAAGATTGGTCTTGTTGTCATATGAGGTGAAGACATCCCACAAGTAGGAATAAGGCATCATAATCTCAATATGTTGCTAGTGGTATTAGATCGAAACATACTCAAGATATATGTGTGTATTATGTGAAGTCCTTCAAGGAAGGTCTTACGAGTGTATTTCCCTTAGGGGGAGACAATATGTTGAGGATTGATCCACCTTTATTAGGTAGGATATTTGGTAGACTCGGGTAGGCACAATGGATTCTCGCATATTGACATGTTTTAAGACTTTGGAGTGTAGCATGTGGCTACATGGTATGTTGATCCTTTGAAGAATTCGAAGTTCTACTCACCAGTATAAGCACTTCTTGCAAGTTGGGGAGGAGTATGTCATGACCTATAAATGTTGTGACCATGTTGATCAAGGAAATAAATATCATGCCAATTGGTTAACTTATTTTCCACTGGGAGAAAGAAGTTGTATTAATGATAGTCTGTTTTTTCTTTAGACGTTGTAGCCTAGTTAAATTAAAGGTATGGTGTAACATCCAATTCTCCGTATCAGATCGATTTAGGGTTTCAAGGAGTCAAGGCAAGGTTTTGGGGGTAAAACCAAGGCTCACGACGTGAGCCATAGAAGAGTCACGACATGAGTAGTGGTTAAATGAAGATTCCGATTTAGACTAGGCTCACGACCTGAGCAATGAGAGCTCACGACGTAAGATACGTTGCATCCCAAACCCATGATCTTTTAGGGTTTCCCTTCGTATTTGTAACGTCCCAAAAACACAGTCCAAAAATTTCGTTTTAAAATCATTAAGAAAACCATAGTTAACAATTCATCACATAAAAACCATAAATCATGTATTTCAAAATAACATAAACATCTATCAAATATATCAGAGTATAAACATCCCAGGATAAAATCATGGTGTGTGCACGACAGTCATCCCGAGCTCTTCCCCTTTCTACCAGATGTACCTGAAACCGAAACTGAAAACTATAAGCACGGAGCTTAGTGAGTCTCCCCAAACTACCACATACCATACACATAATCATATAATCACATAATAACATACATGGGCCTCACCCTCTACATCCCCCCCCTCCCCGCGGACATCAGACCGAATTCTGACATCAGACCGAAATCCGGAAGTATATAACAAAAACATATAAACATTCTCTAGGCTTTCCTTGGCATCAGACCGAAGTTCGGAACATATAAACCTACATCAGGCACTGCCTAAAATCGGACCTTGGTCCAGCATATACTAACATTTATAAACGGGCCGATATTGGTGCCTTCGACCCGATCCTACAGGAGGAAACCCACCTCGCGCTGTTGAAGTCCCGCGGATAAAACTCTAGTTGATGGATGACAAATTCCCGAACCATCAACATCAAAACAAAACCCAATTAACCATTTGCGTTTCAATGCATAACCATAAATCCATACTTAGGGTAAAAGGACCATTTTACCCCTTTCCTAGCTTAGTTCAAGACCAAGGCCCAAATTCACACTCTAGAGGCCCAAAAGCCAAATAAACAACCAAGACCCAACACATGGCTTAATTTTCCAAATTGGGCCCAAACTTCTACATGGTCTTACCTTATGGCCCAACCATTTATTCAAGTCCAAACACTTGGCATTCTGATGGTCCAATATCTCATAATCATCAAGGCATAATTACGGCCCATCCATGGACTAGTTTTCCAAATTGGTCCCAAGCCTTTCCAATGGGTCTTATCCTAAAGCCTAATCCAAATATTATAGTCCCTATACTCGTTCTTGGATGGCCCATCAATAGCCCAATCACCAAAGCCCAACAAAAGTCCCAAGCAAAATTAGGGTTTTCACATAAAATGATGATTAGGGTTAAGTGTTCTCACTTAACCCATTAAATTAATCCATTAAGTCATAACTTCAGTCCACCGGTCCAAACGCGGGTCCCGGCAATCCAAAACTAACATCTTCCAAATTAGGGTTTTCTAAACCCTAATTAGTGTTTCTATCCCAAGCATATGCCAATTAGTCAAACGATTAAGCTTTAGGTTAATTAGGGCTTCATTAGGTCGAGCACCACCCACGACCACCTCAGGCGGTGGTGGTCGACGGCAACAGCCACCACCTCACGATGGTGGTGGTTATGTTTCTAGGCCAAAATAAAGACAAAAGTACCCCAAGCACCGATCCACACACACCCATAAACATACAGCCACCAGAGATGGTGGCTAGTGGCAGTAAAACGGTGGCAACAACCACCTCACAGTGGTGGTGGTGGTGGTGGGTTTTCCGGCCACACAATCACACATACAACATCATGAATACCGAAAGCAGCAGCTACACTCAAATGCACACCCATATACACACCTACAGCCACCTCCCACGGTGGCTGGTGGCGGGAAGATACGGTAGAAGGCGGCAGAAAGAAGTAGAGGTGGCGGCTGATGGGTTTGATCGATAAGAACTTTCCTATGTGCACATGCAAACCCTAATGCTTGGATCTAGGTTTCTCTAATTGAACATGCAATGTATCTAAGACTCTTATTGATAGATCTAGTATAAACATTCAAATTCATAACATATGAAATCAGGTCTAAAGGAATACCTTGAGTTGCTTGCTTGATTCTTCTTGTCTTTAGAGCTTAGAGTCACAATTATCACTCCTCTAATGGCTTACAAACACCAACTAGCAAGAGGATGATAATAGAGAGAGAGAGAGAGGAGGGTGAGAAAATCGGCCTAGTGTTTCTTGGGATACAAGAGTGTCGATTTCTTCCACCCAAAGGGTCTATATATACTATTGGCTACTAGGGTTACACCTTAAACCCTAATTGAATAACTTAGGACCTAAGCAATCCAATAATCCTTATAGATAAGGCCTTGGACGATTTCTAGGTTTATCCAAACCCTAAAATCGTCCACCCTCACATCCATAAAGATTCATAGCCCAAAAATACAACTATCACACATTTGACAGTTTATGCCCCTTTATTCAATTAATCTCTTTAAGTCACCAAATTAATTCCTAATTAATTTATGACTTACATTAATCAAATAACAATATTATTATTCCTTATATTATTCTCATAATATATTAATAATATTTCTTCTCTCATTATAAATCATCCTGTCAAGTTGCTATGGTGAAGGCAACCCAAAAGGACCATGCTCAACCGGGTCAAGTACTTACCAAAT